TGGCAGGTCCCAGACTTGCAGTCAGCTTAGGACAGAGAATTTAGTTTTCCAGAAAAATCTTGGCCTTCTTTTTTAAGCTGTACTCCCCACCTGCACACTGTCCTGTGACCCTCGACTCGCACTGAGGTCAGAGGCTGAGCTGTAACTGCAGCACTTTGGTCCTGACCCCGCAGGTAGTGCCTGCTGCACGAGCTGACTGCCCGTGTCCCTGGCTGACACACCTGCCACCTGCGGGAAAAGGATTCTGGTGCTTTGCAGAGGTGAACTGAAGTGTAACTGTTCTAAATACCAAGCTGTTGGATTTGCAGAGGGAAAAGCATTCTCCTAGGTTTTCTGACTAAGTTAAAGCTGTAAAGCTTTGTCCCACAGCTCTCCTGTCTAGAATCACCTCAGCATTTGGGGGATTAGAAGCAGATTCCTACCTCACTACTCAGCTGCTGGGCCCTCTCTGCGCAGACACACCTTCTGTCCTTGTTTCATCAGTCTGGCCAACTACACATCTTCTCAGCCTGGCACTGAACCTGTACAAGCTGCTTTGGATTTCCAGATGCCATCCAGGGTCTGGCATTCCCTGTCCCTCTTGGGTCTGGTACAGTTGCTCATGCCTTCTTAGTTTAGTATTTGTTGAACTCCTTAGTAAACTACTCGACACAGAGTCCTGCTGGGAGACTGCCAAGCCCTTTCTTCTGAAAAGTTATCAGAAAAAAATATTTTAATAATTGTTTGACTAACATAAGCCTTCTTATAGCAAGGTAAAAGATACTGGCCAAAAGTGATAGACTAGAGCACGGTTATAGCAAAGCTGTCAGCACACAGACCAGACCTGTAACGTACAAACCTGTTAACAGTTCTGGAGTTGTTCTTTTGCTGCGTCGCTGGGACGCAGTCAGCTTAGAAATTGTACTGTTTGTATTTTGAAATTTCCCTAAGGTCACACTTGTGAACATTATGAGTTCAGAAATGACCTGGGACAGGCAGAGTGTGTCAGAACTCCAAGCTGGTCCTTCTGTGTCTGTATTGGCCTGTTGGGAGTGACCTGGGAAGTTGTAAAATCCGTGCCCAGCCCAGCTGTGCTGCCTGCAGAGGCTCAGGAGCACACCAGGGTGGCCAGCGCTGCAGGTTCAACCGTGTGACATTCAGAAGCATTTGCTGAGATGAATGTTTCCTGTCCTGAGTGTGGGAGCACAGTCTGTTCTGTGAGAAAAGGGGAAGAAGTCATTGAGGCAATTAGGAAATACATCCTGGCAGTTGGGTGGCTTCCCCAGCTCAGTACTGACCTCTTTGCAGGGGAAGTGGAGGGAAGGCTCCTGAGTGGGCTTCCTTTTGTACAAGGAGTGAGTGGAATTTGAAATTAATTTTTGGCTAAAGTGTAGTATGTTACAACACTGTCACGTTTTCTTGTCTTTATTCCATTTCCTCCTCCTGTTATAGGTACTTTACATTTTTTACTTCAGGATGTCTTTCAGATTTGGTATTTTTCATGCTTTCCAAGATCCCCAACGTACCGGAGTGTGTGGCTGATGCCAGGTCTGTGTGTATAATGAGAGCTCTCAACTTAGGCAAAACAATTCAATTTAAAATTAAAATAATTTGTTCTATTTTTCTTATAGATAACTGTCAGAAAAGACTAGTAGAAGAGACTGTTGTGGTATGAAAGCAGTATTACAGCAATTTTGGCTAAAAGTCCTGTGAAACATTTTATACACTGCTTAAACCTGGAATGGTGATTCTGGGTTTTTTTTTAAGTTGTGTGAAATGGAGTGATGAGCCTTGTTCCGCTGTGCTTTGAGGAAGGGGATCCAGACTCCAGGCAGCTTCTTGTTCTTGGTGGAGGACGAGCCAAGAAGGATGTGGCTCATGTCTGTGCTCCCCAGGAGTTCAGTATTTCTCACCTCTGTGTATTTACTTGTCACAACCCAGAACAGCTCGTCTCTTCCTTTAGTCTGTTGGGAACTCACGTGAAGAGATTGTGAGCTTTATATACGATGGAAAATAAATCAATAGATGAGGTGGAAGTAACTCCTCATTACTGTTAACTCTGTTTCCTAAGAGGGATTCTCCCCCTGCTTCATTCCCAGTAGTCTGCCTCATGACCAGTTTCATGTACGCTCAGAGCATTGTGGGGCAAAACCCACCATGTCCTTGAAAAGTGCAGCTTGGGCTTAGCTCCTTCCCCACCTCTTACTCATTTACACATGACCTGATTTTCCCCATCTCAGTGCTGCAGCTTTGCAATGTTGGCCAAGTTAAAACTGATAAAAACTCTTGGCTTCCCCTGTAAATAGACCCTGTTCTCAAAGGAAAGCCTGGCCCTGCCCATGCTGAGCCAGGTTAGTGCTGTCTGGGGGTGGCTCTTGGTAACAGCTCCCTATTTAAGGCTGCAAAACTTGTTTGTGTTCTGTGCTTTCAGCAGTTCTCTTCTGTAACAGCCCCGAGGAGCAGACACACATGCACTACAGCCAGCATTCCCTCAGCCAGCAGCAGCGAGGAGTAAGCTCTTAGTATCTTGCTCCAAGAAAAGGCAGCTCCGTGCTGTCAGGCAGGCTCTGTGCAGAGCCGTGCTGTTTACCCCAAAGCACTGCTGCGCCCAGTGCTGTGTGCCAGGTCACCCATCCCTCTCTGCACCTGTGGCAGCAAGGACGGGATTGGAAAGCTTTTGTCTAAGATACTTTGCACCCTTAAAGCAATTCTAGAGAGTATGTCAGGATGTTCCTAAGCTCAGGAACCTGACTAGCATGCCCTACCTCCAGCAGCTCACCCCTTTCTGTCCTGCAGTGATGTGCAGCATCATTTGACATAGGCTGTGGCAGAGATGCAGCACTTGGCAAGTCAGCATCAAGCGTGCAGTTGTGAGCCAGGTGAGCTGTGGTACTGCTGCCAGAGCTGGCAAGAAGCTTGTTAGAGGGGCATAGTCCAGGCATTCCCAAAAGCAGGCTCTGGTCACAGGTGCAGCAGGAGGGCTCCCCGGAGAGCAGTCAGTGGATGCTGCCTCCTGATCTTCTCTGCAGAAGGTCCACAGGGGATTTGGTACATCTGGTTTGTGGGTTCTTCAGGCGTGTTCTCTGTCAGCTGAGGTGTTCATCACTATTCTCCCCCTTAGGTCAGCCATGGTGCGTGTACAGGGAGAAGAGAAGCTGCAGACTAAGAGTTGGTAAATTACAGAGGTATGATGTTGACAGGAGCAGTTGGAAAGTGCTGATGGTACGGTAAGGCTGAGCTAAGAGAAGCAGCTAGAGGAAGAGAGGAAACGGCAGCAGGCACGGCCTAAATGTGACTGACTGCTCTGGGTCACCAGGGATTCAGCTGGACCTCAGCACATGCGGTCAGTGAAGATGAGCACTGAACAGTGTCCCAAAGTCCTCACTTCCTTGCAGTGAGCAGCCCTACAGCTCCTGTTCTAGCTGAGTGTAACAATAATATCACTTCCTCCTATGCAATCATAGAAATGAGTCTTTAACAATCAGGGTGGTGATACAGGCTGAACTCAAGCTAGAAGAGTGTCTCTCACTCCTAGAAGCCTCCATAATCTGCAACACATTCAGTCATTAGAATGGTTTTCCAGTAGAAATACTGTTGAATTCATGGCCTGGCTCTGTTCCTGTTAGTCCTCAGGTTTGTGAGAGCTGCAAGGAGACATTCGGGACTTGGAGACTTTGCCCCAACATGCAGTTGCCCTCTAGCGCCCTGCAAAGACATTATTTATATTGCTGGGCCGTCTGCAGGAGCCAACACCCACTGCACCTCAGAGCGCTGGCTGACTGGTGTGTGCAGGCCCTGCTGGTTTATGCTTCTGTGTCTTGTGACTGGAGGAAAATATTCTAAATTAATTCCCATTTGCATTAAAAAAAAGGGGGGGCACTGGTGGTCCTTTAGAATCAGGTTTTATTTGTCTTCTCTGCTCTCTTATATGTAATAGAATCCTCTTGTTTTTTCTCTCCACACAAGTTTAAATAAATGGCACCACAGGAAAATAACCATTTACCTCTCGTGTACTTGTTTGGACAAGGGGACGGACCATACAGGCTCTAGTCCTCATCTTCTCCATCTTTTCCTGAGTTTACAGCTTTTCTTTTGGCTGTTGAATCTTCTACAAGTTAATTTCTTGCGAAAGACAGCTGATTGAGGATACGTGCTACTGCTAAAGCTTCCTGGTAAGGTTTTCTGTGTCATCTGTTCATTTCCTAGTTGCTGCCCAAAACACGTAGAGATTAAAGGCTGTTACTGCCACTCCATGTGGGTAGTTTTTGGTATAGTAAAAGCAGCTTTTTGATGGTTTTGGGTTTTGTTTTTAACTCAGTCTCAGGCACTGTAGCTTCTCTGTCCTTTGCTTTTACACCTAGCTCTGTACGTGGCTGAGCAAGCAGGCTGCTGGGCTCTGCCAGCCAAGATCAAGGTTTTTTTCTCCTGACCTTGGGTGTTTTTACATCTACACAGACAGCCCCTAGGAAAAGCCCTTTGTGCATATTTAGTACCTGTGTCCTCCTGTCTGGCTCCTCTCCTGCAGAAAGCAGGGAAAAGGGCACTGCTGCAAGGGTTACCTCAGCACAGCCTGCAGCCAACTAGGAGCTCACACACAGCTGCACCCACACCTGAAATTCATTATGGCTGATGAGAAGACACTGTGTAACCCCAGCCTGGAACAGGGCACAGGGGTCACATCTCTCAGTGCCTCTAACATTGGTTATTGAGTGTCATGTGGTGACAAATCCTTGCACACCAGGCAGTGCCTGAGAAGTGCACAAGGCTGACTTTGCTGCTACCAAACCAAACCAAGGCTCTGGTTTAGGAAAAGACTTACGCTGCTCTACAAGGACAGGGTGCCTCCTCCCTCCTGCACTGACAGCCATCACTTACAAACCAGACAGGGCCTTCCACACGCCATACGTTGTCCAAAGATGAATCAGCACATTCAACAAGAGGGTCAGTTACTCATTGGTGAGGAAAACTAATTCCATCATGAGCCTCATTCATGAGGGCTGAGACTCGATCAGTGTTGTGCACAGTTACAAGGCACTTTGGGGCAGTGTCTTGCACTAGTTGGCTTCAGCTACGGTAGGCCTTCAGCACTTGACCTGCTATCACCAGTCTCTGGATCTCACTGGTCCCCTCATAGATCTCGGTGATACGAGCGTCACGGTAATGGCGTTCTGCTGGCATCTCTGTCACGTAGCCCATCCCGCCCAAGATCTGGATGGCCTGAAACAAAGGTAGCAGGTTAGAAAGGAAGCAGGGTCAGGGAATTCACTTTCCACAGACCACAGCCACGTTAAAGGAGCTGAGCTCACTGCAGCTGTAATTGGGAGGGGGGAACACCACATGGGGATGACTGCAGCCCATTTGCAGTCACAGCAGTAAACAGGATTTGAGCTGAGCAAGAGGAATACTGATGTCCCAGACAAAAAAAAAATCACTTCAAAGGTATTTGTTAGTGATTCATGTTCAGCTAAGACACTTATTAGTAAGGACAGGGGAAAATAAATGCAGATACCAGAGGTCCTGCTCCATTTGCTCATGATGGTGCAAGTTTACTACCAGTCCTGACTGGTGCACCCATGCTCCTCCCATAGCGCTGATCCCACTCAAACCTTTGACACTGGCCTGGACAGCAGCAGGCACAAGAAGGCTTTAATAATACAGTTGCCACATGCCAACATAAATCCCTGCCCACCTTCCCGCAATCCAGCAAGCTGGCAGTGCTAACCAGCTTCAGCCACATCAGCTGGTTTAGTTGTACTGTTTTTTGTTAAAAACAAACAAACAAAAACTACTAAATTCCATTCCAGCTTCCCCCAGCACTTCTTGTGGGCCAACACAAGCTCTCTTTCAGCATGCTGTGTCTCAGAAGTGTCAGTTGAAGTACTTACCTGATGAGCAATGGCTGTTGCAGCTTCTGATGCAGCCAGCTTGGCCATCGCAGCTTCCTTTGGGGAAGGAAAACATCACTGAGGGTGCAGCTATCACAAAAAGAAACCCCTCACTTGCACAGGGGGCTTGAACACTCACAGACCAGCTGTGCAGAGAGACAGCCTCGACTGCTGGTGCCAACTGACAGTAGCCACCCCTCTCCCCTTGGCTAAAACCAGGACTTGGCTCAACAGGCTGGCTGAGCACAAACAGCAGAGCCTAGTGTCTGCTGGAGGGTTAAACAGCGACAGCGCTGAACACTGATGCTGTCTGTACCCAGCACCGTTTTCTTGCCTTGAGCCTGTGCCCCGCGCTGTCACAGCTGGACAAATGCAAGGTTGGACATACCTTTGTGAAGGGCTTCCCATTGTCCTTCAGCATAGCAGCTCTCCAGGTCAGCAAGCGTGCCCCCTCCAAGGCCACAGCCATATCCGCGAGCTTGAACTGCAAGGACAAACACCACCTTTGTGCCAGGTGCCAGCCTCTGCCCCACAAGAACCTACAGCAGAAGTGTCCCACCCCCCCGAGAGCAGCACTGCTAGAGAAGGAGTGCCTCCACCCCAACAGCTTTAACTGTCTGAAAACACAAATTATGATCCTGTTTATCCCAGCACAGTGCAGTGTGTGCCTAAAGCCACGCCCAAGAGCCCACATGAACCTTGCACCAGCACCAGCAATGCTTGGAACTGCCCCGTCCACCCAGGTCATACCTGCACTGCCTGTAGCTTTGTGATGGGCGACCCAAAGGCCATTCTCTTTTCAGCATAATCCACGGCACAGTCCAGCGCTGCCTGTGCTATTCCAAGAGCCTGTGAGGCGATACCAATCCTTCCTGCATCCAGCGTTTGCTGTGAAAGACACAAAATACACACATGAAATCAAGCTGTACTTGAACAAAAATAGTACACTTGGATTTCTGCTCTTGGTGGGAGGCTGCTGTAGCCTCAGTATGCTCTGATCAGACCTCCTTGATTCAGAACATTCCTGGTTATGCAGGAATAGAGCGCTATAAAATGTACTGGGCACTGCAGAGAGAAGCCAGGGGTACAAGAAAGAAAGCAGAAAGCAGAGGTATTGATTGTCATTAGCTCGGGGGAAAAAAAAAAGAGGGGCTGCAAAATAAGGGAAACAGCACAACGAGGAGCATCTGCTCTGGAAAGGCCTGAAAAGAACCCTTCAGCTGGAGCCCTGCCTCCCGGTGCAGCTGATCGTACTCCAACTGTAAAACACCTGGAAATGCAGTCAGCTTCCCTCTTTGCCCTCAGCACTGCACACACACTGAAGCAAGTATTTTCCAAAATGGCTACTGAGTTGAGTCAATAACCTGACACCTCAAACACCTGCCCAGGAGGCTCTGAACTGCTTCCCTGCCTCACTCTGCACAGGAAGAATTTACAGCACAGTGAGAAAAGGCTCTTCTCAGTCCTGGGCCGAGTGGCTTAAAAAAGTCGTTGGTGACTGGAGGGTTCTTTTAGTTGAGGACTTAATGTGATGGGCTGGTCTCCAGGGAGCTCAGCCTTTTTCAAGAAGTCAGGCCAACAAATGATGTTTTGCCACTACAGAGGAGAGCAACGAGCACTTCCAAGAGGGAGGCTGCTGCAGGGAACGCGGTGTTCCACGGCTGCTTGGCTCCTCCTCAGAAGTCACATGTGTGCCATAACTCAGATTGCACCCACCTTTAGACATCATCCAGAGGTTGTCCTGGGCCCCGAGGACAGCTTTCCTCTGGCAAAGTATTTAGGGAAAATGCTGTGTATTCCCTTTATCTATGGGTACAAACTGGAGGAATAGAGGGTTGGGAAAGGTGTAAAATACACCACCACCACCACCTCTGCTGACACAGCACCTCAGCAGCATCAGCATTCCTTCGTCTGTGAGATGCTACATTGAGTCTACGAAAAAAGCAGTCAAGGATCTACAGTAAATTAATAATTCATCCAGCTCTATGAATGATTTCTCCCACACTGGCAAGAAGAGTCAACTGCTTGTTCCACAAGAACAATGTTCCACAGAACAGCTTATGCCAGCAGTTCTCACCAAGTCATCTTAGGTCTGAAAATGGTTTTGACAATGGCAAGCTTGGGAACTGCAGCTTCACACCACAGCTGTACCGCGACCCATCTCTTACCATGGCGATTGTGAAGCCCATTCCCAGCTGCCCCAGTAGGTTGGCCTTGGGTATCCGACAGTCCTCAAATATCAGGTTGGCAGTAGAAGAGGCTCGGATGCCCAGCTTGTCTTCCTTCTTCCCCAGTGACAGCCCAGCAGTTGGCATGGGAACCAGGAACGCGCTAATGCCCTGCAACAAAACCCAAACTCTTAGGAATGGTGCCAACTTCCCACTTACCTAGCTGCCACTAGGCTTCCTCCAAACATTTTTCACAGAAGCCACAAGTCTGGGTAATGAGGAGAAGGGGGAGGAGAGCTGAGACAACAAAGCCAGCACACATCAGCCCCTCCTCTGCTCAGTGCAGAGTCCCCTTTTCAAAGTGCTTCTCCTGCACAGCTCCTTCACCCCTGCCTCTTCTTCCTGACTGACCCCTGAACGCACCTTGTGCCTCAGGGATTTATCTGTAGTAGCAAACACCACGCTGGCCGAGGCGTCCCAGGCGTTGGTGATCCAGGCCTTGGTGCCATTCAGAACCCACTCGTCACCATCCAGCCGTGCCACTGTGGATGCCGCACCCGCGTCGCTGCCATTTCCTGAGCAAGGCACCAGCAAACAAAGTCACAATCAGTGGCAGCCTGGGGCACAAACTCACCCCCACCATCAGTTCATGGCACCTCTTGTACCTGCAGGAGTGTCAGCACTGTATCTCCCAGAGGACCTAAACAGGAAGGGCAAAGGCCACAGTGTCTAAGATGTGTCCATCTCCAGAGCTCTGCTTACAGAGGGGATGGAAACTTTCTGCATGGGAATGGCTGTTAATAGCTTGGGCACTGAGACTTCATTTACACGGAATTGCTATAAACCACCTTCCAGCAAAATTACAACTTGACAGACCTCAAGTTCATCCTAAAGGTGACTAAGGAAAGGAGCTACCCTGTGTTCTTTGCAACAGGAATGGCAACGGTCACATTACCTGGTTCACTAAGGGCAAAGCAGCCAATTTTATCCCCGCTGGTGAAGGGAGCGATCCACTTGTGCTTCTGTTCTTCAGAGCCAAATTTGAGTATTGGCCCTAAATACAGAGACTTTAAGAATTGAGAGTTGTGTTAGTGCCTCTTGAAGGTAGAAGCAATCCAGTAACTCCCCAATCTCCAAGTGCTCTCCAGCACACCAGACCCCACCACAGGAACAGATCCCATTTCTCCCGTACACCCCTCTCCAGTGACCCCCCTGATGCCAGCCTCCGTTCCACACCTGCCCCTCACACACAGACCAGGACACATACGTTATTGACACTGACGATGACGCCCGTGGACGCGCAGCCCCTGCTGATCTCCTCCACGGCAATGGAATAGGCCAGGTAGTCGAGGCCTGCTCCTTTGTACTCCTCCGGCACATCCATAGCCAGCAGCCCTAAGCCACCCATCTTCTTCACCTGCACGTGGGGAACAGAGAAGTGAGATCCTCTGCACCACTCGTGTCCCAGCAAATACACACAGACACAAGGATGGGTCATAGCAGGGCTACACAGAGAGGAAGAGCTGCACACAACTCCCACTGAAATGGGAATCTGACTGAACAAACTGCCAAGTGTCCCCAGGTCCCGAAGACTTCAGCAAGAGCTGTACGCAGTCACTGCTGCCAAAGGCAAGGCTCTTGCTTAACCGAAGAGCCTTCTTCAGTTCCAGGAAGGAGGGAGCCTTTTGAAGGTGAAACAGGGAAAGACAACCCCACCAGCACTTCCTCTGCCTCCCACCAAAGCTTTTCCCCTCACACGGCTCCTGTCAGTTGGAAGCTCTCAATGGGAAATCTAGCTGATAAGAATCATTAGAACTTTACCTTTGAGTCTGCTGAGCGTCAGCCTAGGACTGCACAGGGAAAGAATTTTACAGAATGAATGACCCACAGAACAAACCTGCAAGAAGGTGATTTTTTCACTCACGTTAAAGCCAGGTCTTGCTTACCAGAGAATTTAATTGTTGGTTACATTCCAAATTATTCCAACCCAAATTCCTCAGCTAGACCCCTGGCTTCCTAACTGTAAACTCTTTCAAGCATCAACTGTCTCTACTTTCCTTGTTAACCTTTGGCAACACATAAGAGAAAAAACAAGCTTTCCTCTGCTTTTATAATTAAAATGTCAAGCTTCTGGTGTTGCAGAAATAAGCATGTTACCAGCTTCTGCTTGCTTTAAGAGGAACCAAGAGGAATTTTTAAACAAGTATTTTCTCTCCTGTTCAGGCACCCAAAACTCTAGTCCTTCCCATCAAATCCAGAGGTCAAACAAGACAGCAACTAGTTCTATGTGTGTTGCTTTATCTTAACAAGCACTGTTTACATTTTGAATCTTCCTCTACACATTCAAGTGCAAAGACTCAAAATCAAATCTAAAATTCTCAGATAAGAACAGTAAAGAGGAAAGTCTTTTCTTCCTTAGGGCAAGTATGACTTTCCTGGCTACCCTCCTCACTCCTTAATAGAAAGAGGGGTGTATGACAAAACTAACATGCCTCTGACTGTGCTTGCTTGCAGTCTTTTGGCTAACATAACAGTATATACTTTTCTGGAGCTTAGTATTTCATTGCACTGAAACAGGTAAGTGATGTGCTCCACACATCAGAGAATACAGTGCTGTGTCTGGATTGCTTTCCCCAAGAGAAGTAACAGGTCTGAATAGAATCTCAATTTCTTCACCACTCTAGAGGACGACCAACATACATCTATCTATCTCCTGTCTCCTGATCACTTCTTTTCACCATCTGAAATGCACTCAGGTCACCTATGCTTCCTCACTATAAACCATTTTATGGTTATGTGCAGTCTATAACAGTATTTCATTGATTTTATAAGTCAGTTATATTACAGGCCACAGGAAAGTCAGTAAGAGAACTGAAAATTCAATGGTCCTAAAGCCAGATACAGAGGAAACACAATAAAGGTAAAGAGCTCAAACTGTCCTCCACACTCGAAAAACTCTCCCACAAGTTGGTCTAAACTTGAATCTTCCGCTAAGCCAGAGCTTAGTGTACATTCTGCTTCAGGCCCAGGAAGCCCCCCCCCCCGACCGCCCCGCCCCCGCCTCGCCCGTGCCCACCCCGGCGGCAGCAGCGCGCACCTGCTCGGCCGGGAAGCGGTGCTCCTTGTCCAGCTGAGCTGCCACAGGCATCAGCTCCTTTTCGGCGAAGTCCCGGCACGTCTGACGCAGCATCTGGTGTGTTTCTGGCAGCTCGGCGCTCTGGTACACCGTGTGCAGCCGGCGGAGGCACCCAAAGGCCAGGGCTGACAGGACGGAAGGAATTCAGCGCCCTTGTTTCCCCTCACGTCCAGGGGACGGGGCTGAAACCGGCCCAGGACGACTCGGCCCCAGGCGGGACCCCTGCCAGG